ACCCCTAGTGTTTAATATATATATATATATAGATATATATATATATATATATATATATATATATATATATATATCCAGTAATGTCCAAAGCTCTGATTCCCTCGAGCCCTGATGTCAACATTCCGTTGATTTAAACTAAAATATCCCTGAGTAAAACTCAATATTCCTCCTGATGTATTACATTTTTGATGTCACTCTACAAACTGGTGTTCTTACTGAATAATAAAAATACAGCTAAAATTATTAACTTTATGCTCATACAGTTTATTGCACCAATAAGTCACTGTTTTAGTTAGTGAACAGTTCAGACCCAGACGGCTCCTGCTGGATTCAGGTTCCTCTGGTTCCCCACACTCATGCTGGGAATCACCTTCCTGCTGGATCTGAACCGCGGGAAACTGACTGGTTCTGGATATTTTCTTTTTCTTTCAGACATTCTGAAGTCCTAAAGATGGAGGATTTGGATTTGATCAAACCTGAACCTTCAGGATCCAGCTGTCCATCCATGAGGAGTGACCTGTCCAAAGATGTACCTCCAGACTACAGTGCAGAACCTGGAACCTCAGACATAAAGTAAGGACCCTGTTTCTAGCATGTAACTGCAGAAATAAACTCTATTCAGTAAGAACTGGTGGATCTTCAGCATCTAAAGCCAATGACCTTAATCCAGTTTTATGCTAAATAAACATAAAATTGTCAGTCAATAAATCAATAGAGTTTGACCAGAGAATCACTAATGCAAGAAAACAGAAAAAACCAAGAATCTGAGGAGCAACCAGATGAATAGTCTCTGTAGCGTTTGAACTAAAGGATATTCTGAAGTAGGAACACTAGACTAGCTAAAACACTTGGTTCAGTTAATCTTAATTTGGCTAGGCTTCCTGACTTCTGCACCTTTTAGATATCTCTCTGTTTCAACATAACTGAGTCAAATAACCAAATCACTAGCAGGACTTCACTACATGTTTGTGTTTCAGAGGTCAGAACCGCGGGCAGAGAACAGAATCTCCATCTATGATGAGTGACCGGTCCATTGGAGAGCAACCAGACTTCAGTGAAGAACTTGGATTATTGGAGTAAGGAACCAGTTTCTAACTGATGAACGTTGCTCTCCAAGAATATAAGCTGTAGACTATGAGCTGCTTGATCTTCAATACCTCACTGGTTTCTCATCTAAAGGGTTAAAGAGGCTTCTGTTTGGTATGATTTAGTGCGGAGAACCCGGTCATTCAAGCCGACACTCTATGATGTTTTAAGGTTTTATTGACAAGGTTGAGGAAGGTAGGCAGGTCCTGGAGAACAGTCGGACTGAGCCCAACAGTTAATGGAGAGGCAGACTTGAACTGCAGGAGCTGACAGAAGTAGAATAGATTCAGTTGGTAGAGAGGGTCAGACACAGCTTGGAGCTGCCCTGAAGCCAGACATGAACAACAGCTGCCCTTAAGCTCAGACATGGCTGGCAGCTGCCCTGAAGGTCAGACGTGGCCAGGAGCTGCCCAGAATAATCATTATTTTTAAATTAAATGTTATTTTAAATATTTAAATAACAAACGGTTTCCTCTTACCACATGGTTCAAATAGTTTTTATTTTATAATCACTCGTAAACCTTATCTTGAACACACAATCTGCTGATTTGAATGTGGTGAAATTAAGCTGTTTTGCATTTCTTATGATTTGCTCATCAAGCATCAAACAAGATTATCCACAACACACCCTCTTATCGTACGACGAAAAGTACAAATACAATTTACTCCCCATTTTTTTCAGTCTTTGCTGGTCTACAAATAGTTTCTGGTTCCTTCCAGCAGGTAGAACGGGAAAAATTGAAGGACTCCTTACTACCTCCTCTGTGTCCTACCTGACGAGCAGCAGGATGTGTCACTTCAGTGGTTTAATATGTTGATTAGAAAAGAAAACTCACAGTGATTGGTCATTGCAGCTCTGTGGGGTCTTTTTCTTCGCAACATATAACAAACCTAATTGGAACCCTGGTTCTTATCCAGATAAATTCTGCTGGTGTTGTCTGCGGTTCAGTTGTAGATGCCCATTGTCCTAAAATCAGTCCTATATTTAGTTTTAATAGACTTGATAGCTGTTCTCTGTACATTTAACTTAGTCTCACTCTTAGCTAATCAAACCCTGTGGCTTGGACGAGCCCCCGTTATATCCGATACTGATGCACAGGATACCACCTTGTCATACAAGAATGCACAGATTGAATGACATGTTGGACACATGTTGGCATGTGACCTGGAACATTTGAGACTTTGTTAAGGTTTTGTTCTGACCCAGCTTCTGGTTCTCTGTTTGTGGTGGACCCTCATGAACTTCAGTAGGACACCCCCACCCAGTCAGTACTTAACTACTTTACTGATGAAGAAATGTCTTTACAGAGGGAAGGAGGGGCATAAACTACAGTGTGGAAAAAGAGCAAGAACCGGACATGAAGTGCAGATTGAGAATGTCTGTGTAGCAGGTAAGACTGAAAGTCTTCGATAAGAGCTTCCTTCTATGGTCGAAATGCATTCCTTTAGTTGAACATTTAGTTGAATTTCTGGGGTCAATTGTTTAAACTTATTATAGGATATATGTTAAGATTTACAACATGGAATCATTCTAACAATTCTCTCGAAAACAATCCTGTGTTATATCAATCGGAAATACTTCTATAAAAATATCTAATTAAGTCTGGGGAGTGAAATGTCATTTAAAGACATTTCTCTCCCTCTGCCTCTGTTTTGCCACAAAACAGAGGCAGAAATATGCTGTTTGACGAATGATCAAGCATCTTGATCTGAGAGCAATATGATCATGTAGGATCAGATAATATGAAGGAATAGACCTACTAATGATAACACCTCTGAATGTCCCAGTGGTTTGGTTCCAGCATCATCACTACATACTTTTTTTTACTTCAGTCATCTTTTCTGCTTTGTTGCAGCAGATGTTATGCTTAAGAAGCTTCTAGAGGAACATAAGATCCATCTGAAGAAGAGATGTGAACATGTGACTGAAGGATGTGATGAAACAGGAAGTAGAACCCTCCTCAACAGGATCTACACTGATCTCTACATCACCGAGGGACAGAGTGAAGAGGTTAATACCCAACATGAGGTGAAGCAGCTGGAGGGAGCTTCCAAGAACCTCCATGGTTCTCCAATCAGGTGCCAGGACATCTTCAAAGCCTTACCTGACCAACATGGAGACATCAGAGTGGTTCTGACCAACGGCGTCGCTGGTGTTGGAAAAACCTTCTCAGTGCAGAAGTTCACTCTGGACTGGGCAGAGGGATTGGAGAACCAAGATGTCAGTGTGGTGGTTCTGCTTTCCTTCAGGGAGCTGAACCTGATCAGAGATCAGCAGCACAGTCTTCTCACGCTGCTCCATGTTTTCCATCCAACCCTCCAGAAGATCCCAGCAGAGAAGCTGGCTGTCTTGAAGCTTCTCTTCATCTTTGATGGTCTGGATGAAAGCAGACTTTCTCTGGACTTCAACAACAGCCTGATTGTTTCTGACGTCAAAAAGAAGTCATCAGTCAAAGTTCTGCTGATGAACCTCATCAAGGGGAACCTGCTTCCCTCCGCTCTGGTCTGGATAACTTCCAGACCTGCAGCAGCCAATCAGATCCCTCCTTCCTGTGTTTCCAGGGTAACAGAAGTACGAGGCTTCACTGATGCCCAGAAGGAGGAGTACTTCAGGAGGAGGTTCAGTAATGAAGAGATGTCCAGCAGGATCATCTCCCACATCAAGACCTCCAGGAGCCTCCACATCATGTGTGGGATCCCAGTGTTCTGCTGGATCACTGCTACGGTTCTGGAGAACCTGTTGACCACAGAGCAGAGAGGAGAGCTGCCCAAGACCATGACTGACATGTACTCACACTTCCTGCTGGTCCAGACCAGGAGGAAGAAGAACAAGTACCATGAAGGACATCAGACGAGTCCACAGGAGCTGATGGAGGCTGACCGGGAAGTTCTCCTGAAGCTGGGGAGGTTGGCATTCGAACATCTGGAGAAAGGAAACATCATGTTCTACCAAGAAGACCTGGAGAAGTGTGGTCTGGATGTCACAGAGGCCTCAGTGTTCTCAGGAGTTTGTACAGAGATCTTCAAAAGAGAGAACGTGATCTTCCAGAAACCAGTCTACAGCTTTGTTCATCTGAGCGTCCAGGAGTTTCTGGCTGCAGTCTACATGCTCCACTGCTTCATAAGCAGGAACACAGAGGTGTTGAAGAACTTTCTAAGACAAAAATACAGAGAATCATCACTGGATGACCTCATGAGGAGAGTCATGGAAAAGTCCCTCTGGAGTCCAAATGGCCACCTGGACCTGTTTGCTCGATTCCTTCATGGTCTCTCTGTGGATTCCAACCAGAGACTGTTAGAAGGCCTGTTGGGTCAGATGGAGAACAACCCAGAAACCATCCAGAGGATCATCAACAATTTAAAAAAGATAACCACTTCTATCTCTCCTGAAAGAAGCATCAACATCTTCCAGTGTCTGATGGAGATGAAGGACCTCTCAGTTTATCGGGAGATTCAACAGTTCATGAAATCAGAGAATAGATCAGAGAAGCTCTCAGAGATCCAGTGCTCCGCTCTGGCCTACATGCTGCAGATGTCAGAGGAGGTTCTGGATGAGTTGGACCTGGAGAAGTACAACACATCAGAGGAAGGACGACGTAGACTGGTTCCAGTGGTGAGGAACTGCAGAAAGGCTCAGTGAGTCCAGATGTCTTGATGTGGTTGTGCTTATTCAGTTCAGTTGTCCTGCTGGTTCTTCGTCATGGTTCTAGTTACTTCTGGATGTTTTTACTCTTTAACTTCTACCTTCATCCTTTTGAGTATTATAACCATTCAAACATCTGAATTTTTAGCTCCTTTAGGGAGTGACAGTGAGAGCCAAATGGGTTATCTGGTATGTCAGTTTTGAAGAATGGTGTATATCCAGATGAGAAATGACATATGCCACTTGGTAACCGGCATATGCCAGTTGAGAAATGGTTCTAACATATGACGGTTCCCAACTGGCTCCTCTCATCAGTCAAGGATCTGCAGCCGGGGTTCTTTCTCCTATCGGAAATCAAGAATAAAGGTTTTTTTTCCCATCCGTTTTGTTCCATGAAAAAGTCAATAATTACAGAAATCACAGGCAATTCAACACATTTCTGATAATGACTGGTCAACAATTGTGTCCAATAACAAGCCAGTATTTTCATCTTTGAAGCAGCGCATTCTCAAGCTCTGGCCTTCAGCTCATGTATTATTCGGCGCAACAAGACTATCTTTACGAACTCTTACTAGTTGTCATGGTTGCGGCTTGTGGGGCTGTTACCTTCAGGAGGGCGGGGGGTGGAAAGGCAGAACAGCTTGTCCACAGGGGGCAGGATAAGGACATTTATGGTAATACTTGTCTGTCTAATCTGAGAGGAATTTTTCTGCACAAATGGCAAAAACATTCGCTGATGGGCTTATTGTTTATTCATAATTATACAGTTTCTCTTAGAGATCCAAGATCTCATTTACAAGAGAGATATGTATTCATAAATTCAAACATAATAACATATGAATACAAGGTCTCGGTCGGTGTGGACTGGACCACAACAGTAGGTTCCTGCTTCTTTCTGATTGGCTGTTAGAGGCAGAAATAAGCCAAAGGTTGGAGAGAAAATGCTGATTGGTTGATTTTTGATCATCATCATAAGACATGCTGTGACTGTTAGGATTTTAGCTCCATGGACTGGATCCATCCCTTCCTCTTCCAATGGAAATGATGTTGATGAAGATCTTCTGTGGATCCAGATTGTTCCAGCAGCAGACAGCAGTCAGATCTCAGCATGAAGAAACAGGGAGGTTTGCCTACAGGTAGCCAAGATGTTAATGTAAACACAGAGCGCACCACCTCGAGTCTAGCCAATTAGTTCTTTGTTTCTATCGGCGCTGTATAGCGTGAGACCCTCAAGGCTACTAGCGTTGTCTGGTATCGAAGAATGAAGCCATAATTCAGACAGGGTGATGATGTATGAGTCGGAGATGATCTATTTTTTTATCCAGTGTGCGAACTTTGGAGAGCATGATTGATGTGATTGGTGTTCTGTGTGGTTTCCTTCTTAGCTTTGCCATTAGCCACTCTTGCGACATCTCACATACCTCTTCCTTGGGCGTGGCCTGGTCATTGAGCCTGCTGCTGTTTTGTTTTCATCTATCCTTAGCAGTCCAGAGTATTATTAGAGGTCAAGAGTTGATGTAGATCCAGGAGGCGTTGGCGGTCGTAGATGCAGGATCGATGCCTGGTTTGTAGCTTACTGAATTACATTTTTTGGAATTGTCGAGAGCTGTATTTGGTCGCTGCCACTAGGCACCGCCATGATCTTTTTTGTTTATTCTAACCAAAGCAGAGATACAGCAGGTCTGCAGCTGAACCAGGATTCAGACAGAGGACATTGATGAGAAGAGAAGATGTTCATCAGATGACTTTATTTCTCCTCTAATCACAGACTTGGTGGCTGCAGACTCTCTGAGGCTGAATGTGAAGCAGTTGTCTCAGCTCTGAAGTTCAACCTATGTCTCACTCGCCTGGAAATAGAGGAGGTTTATGGATATGAATCCTTTGGAGACTCTGGTATGAAGCATCTGTGTAAGATCCTGGAGAGTTCAACCTGCAGACTGAAGAAACTGAGGTTAATTTTCTATTTATTCAGTAAAAATCATTCTCTGATACTTTTTAAACTGATTGAAATTAACAATTTGCTTCCAACACATGTTCTTTAAAACAGCTATCCAAATGTTAGCAGGTTTTTTACCGTGTAGATGGATTTCGTTCTGATTTCTAGCTTCATGTCATAGCAAGTCATTTTACGGAAATAATTCAATCAAATCGAACACCTAGATTGATAAAAAAGTTTTCTATTAAAAGAAAGCAGATGATTGGATCCGGTCATTTAATTCTCCTTCTTGATGAGCAGCTAGAGACAGGAGATATAACTCTTCAGCAATCCCTCAGGGCCCTGACACACCTTGCTGATTTCTCCAGCGTCTGTCTGACATCCCAGAATCTCCTAAAATGCTGGCATACGCTGAACTTTCTATGGATCTATTTCTATGCTGGGTAAATACATAGAGTTTTCATAATGAGTCCAGAACTTCTGTCCAGCAACAGCCTAACTTCTGCATAATGCACGGCAGCGTAATGCTCATGAAATGATGCACAAGCCAGTGTCCTGAGGGGGCAGCGATGCTCCCCTCAGCAAAAGATTTCTTTGATCGTGATATTAACCTAGCTGCTGTTTATGACCCGCCAAAAAAAAAAAAAAAGAAAAGAAGATTCTGGCAGCAGATTCAGCATCATGTCTGCAAGGAAGTTTGGTGGTGGTGGGCGTGAACACAGGGAGGATCCATCACACTTACCTTCTGGCTCACCCTATGATGGGGTGAAAGAAGCCCAGCAAAACCAGAACCAGGCTCTGTGTGGTGGAGACGTTCTTGTGCTTTCTGCTAGAGGCATGTTTTAGAGTCTCTACACTCTGGTTAACAATTAATCAATTACTAGATTAGTTCATGATTATTTCAATTATCGATTAGTTATATACATATATGTATATATACTTTTATACATGTATATAATACATATGTATATGTATTATATACATATATGTATGCTTCTTAGATCCTGTGCAGATGAACTGTGTGTCATGGTCCTGGTCTGATTGTTCCTGTTATCCATTTGTTGTCCTATGCTGCCCTCTTGTGTCCTCCCTTCCTGTTTCTCTGTCCTGCCAAGCACCTGCTGCCAATTTCCTCGTCAGCTCTCTCTCTGTCTCTGTCCCCTTTAAAAGCCCTCCCTGTTCAGTTCCTGTTTGCTGGATCCTCGTCAAACATCCCGTCTTGCTTCCTGTCTGTTATCTGTCTGCCCTGTCTCGTCTCTCCCTGGCTTCTAGTTTGATTTACCCCTGATGTCTCCTTGGTTCAGGTTCGTTTGCTGTTTTTCTGTTGGACTCTGATTCCTGCCCCTGGTTCAGTGAACCAGAATTAACAGGCTTTATTCACCTCTGCCTATTGGTCTCTGCGTTTGGGTCCTCCACACAAACACTGATCATGACACTGTGTGGCATCTTGTGCTGCACGTTCTAGTGAAGCCTGAGGCTGGTTGAATCACATCTTTTGAAGACCTCTTGTGTGATACTGGTGCAAAGACAAAACATCCAAAGGACCTCAGCAGCTACAGGCCGGTAGGGATTGGATTGGAGAAGATGATGTCATCATCTTTCTCCTGCACCAAGCTCTGACTCACATAGAGAAACCTGGAGGCTCTGTGAGGATCATGTTCTTTAATTTCTCTAGTGCTTTCAACACCACCCAGCCAGGACTCCTAAGGGCCAAGCTGGAGCTGTCAGGTCTGGACCAGCACATGTCCCAGTGGATTGTGGACTACCTCACTGGCCATCCACAGTGTGTGAGGACCTCCAGACGTTCTCTGACCATTCTGCCATAGTTAGCTGCATCATAGCCATCTTCTATGGAGCTGTCTGCTGAAGCAGTGGCTTATCAGTAGCAGAGAGAAAGCCGCTCGATAATCTGATCAGGAAGGCGAGCTCTCTGATTGGATGTCCTCTGGACTCAGCAGGAGGTGGGAAACAGACGGATCCTAACTAAACTAACATCTCTGTTGGATAATCTCTCCTACCCCATCCATGAAGCTGGTGCAGAACTGGAGAGTTTCTACCTTAAATAATATGCTGCTGTCATTTTCCTAATCTCTGATGTTGCTGCTATTTTCAAATATCCATTACTGTAAAAATGTCCCTAAATGTTGTGGTGTATTTCATATATAGATTTAACTCTTCACCATGATGTTGTTCTTATACATTTTTTGTCCACATTTGTGCGGCCATTTATCTGTAATCTTTGTTCTGCAGTAAACACCAGAATTCCCCCATTGTGGCTTGTTTTAATAATTTAAATAGATAAAATATTAGACATCAGTTCATCTTGAGACTGTTTGATTTTCTACACTCTGTTTGTTACTAGTCAAGCTTTAATATGCATCCTTTTGAATTTAGCTATAATCTTGCATACTTTATCCAGATTGCAGGGATGCCTTTTATCAGAGTCCAGCTGTGCTTCTCTGGGCTCAGCGCTGAAGTCCAACCCCTCCCAGCTGACAGAGCTGGACCTGAGCGGGAACAAAGTGTACGCTGGTTTAGTGAAGCAGCTCTGTGGTTTTCTTCAGTCTCCCCACTGCAAACTACAGATATTGATGTAAGATGAAGCATATTTTTTTATTCTAATAAGTTAGTGACATAGTAGGGCTGTTTTAATCATCTTAGAAATATCTCTAAAGTGAGAGCAATGTTGTCAAAATCAAATCTTTAAATCAACATCCGCCATCATCATCACAATAATTATTAGGTCTAAGTGCTGCAAAAGGCCTATATTATCTAAACTGTTTATGATTCTTCTCTGCCTAAAGATACATTTTTTCGGGGCTTAAATGTTCTCACAATACTATGTCCAAGAAATGTCATGATTTTAACTGAGCTTATGAGTTAAAGACCTAAAGATTTACTCAGAATAGGCATAAAGCATTGGGGATCAAAACATATCAAAGGAGTTTTATGCATAAAATCGTGCAGACATGACAAAGCATAACATTCAGACTCATTGTGGTTTTATTACTTCCACATGCAGGAACTGGGCTGTACTATAGTTGCAATGTGTCATCTCTAACCAGCAATAAAAAGGAATCGATGTCACAATTTGGTGGGCCTGGTCTAATGTCTCTTTGGCAGCCGGTAGAAGCACGTGTAATATACAGAGACCTACGTAAAAGTCTCTTGAAGCAATGGTTCGTATACCTGGGAACTCTGACATTTTTTAATTAAAGCTGCCTTTTTTCAGTTTTATTCAAGCCATATCTAAGCAAACTCCTCTAAGAGCTTGTAAGTTAAGCCAGGCATGCACTGTACTAGTTTCCAACCTTTTTGGGTCAATTTGCTAATCGTGTGAGAATTTTTCGGATCGGGCCAAGTTTCAGCCTCATGGTGCATCCTGCATCGTGTATTATACAGGGGGTAACGAGGGGCCATCAGCCTCTAACGACCATCTCCCGACAGGGATCGTAAGGGCAGGAGAAAATCAAACATGATTTTCTGAGGTGTTGGTGGGCAAATCCTGCTGCGTAGGCAAAGCTACGAGCCGATTTACCTGAACCTCAAGCACTGCACATGTGCAAACGGGAGTTCTTCTTCTTCTTCCAGATTGAAGAGTCTGACTGGCGCCATCTCTCGGCGCTGAGTCAGACATGTGGTTTTTGGATGTATAGTGTAAGCAGATAGATCGCATCGGAGCGTCAACAGTGGGAGAACATACATTGTGTGCTAAGATGTTTTAAACCCTGCGGTTTCATCATACAATTTGAGCTGTTGCTGATAACAACAATTGAAATAATCCTACAGTGTATGCCCGGCCTTAGAAAATTCAAAATCACTCAAAATACATTAAAATACATTACTTTGGTGCTGCCACCATCAGGCCGGGAAGTCAAATGCTTTGCTGCTTGAGGTCCTTCTTTTTGACACTCAGTCATAGAGTTTGCTCTGAACAATAACTGATGACAGTGTGGGTGTGGCAAGGCGGCAGGTTTACATGTTATCATTTGAACACGTTTGGCTCTGAGTTACAAAGGAATGGCCAGATTTGCTTTAGACTAGATATGAGTGATAGTTGAGAATATTTGAACTTATCTAGTGAATGACATTCTATTTTGACTCAGCTGTGCCTCTATAAAATGATATAAACAGCCATATCTCTCTGACGCATCGTCACAACGGTTTAAAATAGTTTCTTACGTTAAATTCAAACAATTTTTTCTACAGGTTGATTATTTATTTACTGATATTGCAGTTTTAATGTGCAACCTGTGTAATTATTTTTTCTCTGTTCAGATTGCAGGCCTGTCGTTTGTCAGAGAAAGACTGTGTGTCTCTGATCTCAGCTTTGAAGTCCAAACCCTGCTATCTGAGAGAACTAGACATAAATAAGAACGATTTGAAAGATGCTGGAGTGAAGGAGCTCTGTGGCGTTCTCCAGTCGCCTCAATGCAAGCTACAGACATTAAGGTAAGATGTAGCATATTTGTATAAATAATATTACTCTGCTAATGTCAGAGTGAAGGTCAATCAGTGAGCTAGTACTGGTCGACAGACCGGTTGATCAGAAGAAACACAATATTTCCATTGAAATACAGTAAAAAAGTTTTTCCAAACAACCATTAAGAAATATAGAAAATATAATTTACTTTGATATATATGTATTTAATCTTAGACATATTTTATTTTGTAATATTTTACACACAATTGTAAACAAAAAGAAATGTTGTTAAGAACAGCTCTCTGACTATTTCGATTTTTTAAAGTGCAGACTTGATACAAGTAAGCAACGGTGATAAAAACATTGGGATGGAAAAAAAAGTGATGTAAACATATGACTGTATAGTAACAGTTTCAAAATTCAGGTTTTTTTTTCATAACCCATTTTACACAACAGCTCTTGAGTGTGATGCAGCGTAACATTCATCAGTGTGATGGCGGTGGGGAAGAAGCTGCTGCAGAACCTGCTGGTCCTGCATTGAATGCTGTGAAGCCTCTTCCCAGAGGGCAGCAGGGAGAACAGTCCATGGTGGGGGGGTGAGGGGTCATTGATGATGTCACGTGCTCGGGACACGCAGTGCTTGTATATGTGTGTATATATATATATATATATATATATATATATACGCATACGTATACTTTGCAAAAACATGGCTATAATCATTAACATCAATAAAGGGATTTTACATAACATAAAACCACAGTAACATTAACCAGAACCATCTATAGCTGCTTATGCACTTTATCATTTATGCACAGCACTTCAGGAAAGTTTCTCCACATGATGAAGCATGAAACTTGATTGGCAGCTAAATTAGTAAGAAACGACTAATCTGACACAACAACAAAAAAACTGTATGAGCTGGACTGGAAACACCATCTCACTGGTCCAAAGGGCCCAGAAGCGCTTGGACTTCCTACGGAGGATGGGGAGAGCCCACCTGCCCCCACCCATCCTCACCACCTTCTACAGAAGCACCATAGAGAGCAATCTGACCAGCTGTCTCACTGTGTGGTGTGGTTAAATGCAAAGAGGGAATTTAATTGCGCTGTACTTGTGAGAGTGACAATAAAAACACTGAGAAAAAGAAAATTTCATTCTTAAAATTAGAATTTCCCTCAAAACTTTCAATTTTGCAAAGTTGAGAATTATAGAATGGTCGTTTATAATGCATATTTTGGATTATTGGGCTTCCTGAAAGCTGTGATTCTGGTAAAATGTTGGAATCAAATTTGCTGTAAGGACCCAGGTGCCACTACCCTTAGTTTTCAAGCAACAATGCACAAATATATTAATGTATGTATTCATAAATATACCTTTTCACATACACATTAATAGAGACATCTGTAGTTATAGAATTACTGCCCGTAGACTACAGTAGCCATTTGCACTAATGAAGAGAAGCCATTGATGTTCCCTTCCATTTCTTATCTTATCCATTATCCAGCTTGTTTTGCTGCGGTTTGTCAGAGATCAGCTGTTCTTATCTGGTCTCAGCTCTGAAGTCCAACCCGTCCCATATGATGGTACTGAAACTTGGAGGGAACAACCTGAAGGAGTCAGACGTTCAGCAGCTGATGGATCTTGTGAAGAGTCCAGACTACAAACTGCAGAATCTGTAAGTAGATGGTTGGAGTGAGTCCAACTGCTCTGAACAGGACTGATGTTCATGCTGCTCTTCATCCTGGATGTGCTGCAGATGATGGAGATATGCTGGAAACACTCACTGATCTGCTCTGCTGCTGTTTCTGATCTCTGCAGGTTGTGGAGCGGATGATCTTTCTAGAAGCTGATGTTTCCTGATGATCCACAGAGGCAGAAGCTGCAGCGGTTTGTGTTTAAAGAGACTCTGACTGGATCCTGATGATGAACTCTGAGATTAGAAACGTTCCTCCTCTTTATTTGACCCTGTCTGTGATTTATTGTCTGACATTGTTTGTATCTTTGGAAGAATAAAGGTGAAATTCAAAGTGAGCTCCATTTAGTGACTCCACGGAGGTTTTAGGTGAATTTGATGCAGTTGTGAAGTTGATCATTTATCCTCTCTGATACATTTCCTGAAACCCAGAAATCTGAAATATAATTCTAAAGTTTTCAGGCTGCATGTTTGCTTCATTGTAATGCAGTTTTTGGATTATTTTAATTTTAGTTTAGATGTTTGCTGCAGGTGTTTAGGCAGCTCTGTTCTTTTGATCTTCTTCAGGATTTTACTTCCAATATTTCCATCACCTTCTTTCTGATGTTCAAATATCTGATCTGTAATGTACTGAGTAAAGATCATGTTTCATCTGCTACAGCGTCTCCATTAGTTAGGATTGGAAACACTTTATAGAGCAGCTCAGATCTTTTTTAGAGGATTTCCTCTGTTTGTCCTGATCTTCTGGTTCTGTTAGGTGTGTTTACATTACCTTCCTCTGAGTGGTGCTACATGCCATTGAGTTTACCAGAAGACTGAGGAGCAGCTATACTGGGCTCTGTTTCAATAAGCAGGTTTACTGAAAACTCTAACTTTTGATTAACCTGAAATCAGGGAAACTCTTCAGTTTCCATTTAACAAAGAGAGCTTCCTCATCCTCTGTCTCTGTTGCCATGGTAACATCCTCCCAGAGCTATGCTGGTGAGCAGAAGGTTTTCTTCAGGTAGAGTGTCCTATGTCCTTACAGCCAATCAAGCTGTTTAATTTCCTGACTGATTCAGATTTTTGTCTTATTTTTTATTTTTTTGTATTATTTTTGTCTTTTGTTTTATTTGCATAAAAAAGTCATACCGAAGTCATCTTTAAATTTCAAATGTCAAATCATTCTGGCTTAAACATGTATATAAATGTACTCTTTATCAGACCATATTGTCCCAAAAGTTAGAAAATCTGTATAAAAAAANCCTCTTCCCTCCATTAAAGACATTTCATCCCAGCGCTGCGTGTCCCGTGACATCATCAATGACCCCTCACCCCCCCACCATGGACTGTTCTCCCTGCTGCCCTCTGGGAAGAGGCTTCACAGCATTCAATGCAGGACCAGCAGGTTCTGCAGCAGCTTCTTCCCCACCGCCATCAGACAGATGAACTGTTCAGAAAACTCTAATAAAAACTCTGCATCAAACTCGAAAACGTTTTTGCAATAGATGGATGATGTATTCATAATCCCTTTAAATATAACACACCACTCAAGATTCTGCTGCATTTTGCACTATATTATTTATTTTGAACTGAACCTCTCCATATTAATGCCTTTTGCACCATGACTCTAAACTGGTTTCATTTTCTCCCACACTGTTTACATTCTGATCACGGTTGCAATTAAATGGAAATGTTCATTTCACTGTTTTAAGCTGCTCATTCACTGTTCAAGGCTGTATTTAGATTTGTATACACTCTGTGTATACAATATGACAATAATGTTTGTCTAAGTTCATATATGATTCATATACCCACTATAAAAGGCCTAGATTGACTTGTTGATAGGAACCAATGCTCCCAAGAAAGCCTTGGGACATGATCAATAGTTATGAAGATGGTCCTTATGCTATAAAAACAGTTTTGGGCTGGGTGATCAATGTGTCTGCTGAAAAACCAGTATAACCATGATTTGAATAAAAGGACTGATGAGGTGTATCCTCAGTTTTATGCCAGCAGACATTGAATGATGATGGACTTCATACTATTATGTGTGAAGTAGAAGCCATTGTGAATGATTGTCCATTTTCAGAGCTTTCTGATGATCTAAATGACTTGGGCCGTTTCTCATTCTCTAGAACGCGAGTATGGACTTGTGTTCTCGCCAAGTCTGTTGTTGGCCTGAGAAAAACCCAGGAAAGTCTGGACTTTGTGAGAACAGGAGCACAGAGCATAAATATGGGTCAATTGCAACAGATGCGTACTCGTGACGTCACCACATGCTCAGCTTGTCTGGAGTTGCATTTCACCTCCTGTTATTAATAGTCTCTAGATTATAATAAATTATGACTTTTTGATTTAGTGGGGGAATAATAAAAACAATCAGATGAATATGTTCATATTTTGCCAAATAAAACAATCAAACCTCCATCAGAGCCAGCGGTACTTCACACACGGCTATGCAGAGAGAGGGCTGCTGCAGACGGGCTAACTTTAGCCCTGGCTGCTGCAGACAGACCTAACATTAGCCCTTATTATTCAAAAGGTGGATAATATTAAGATAGAAGGAATCCTACATCCAAAGGGAATAACGTGGATCTTTAACAGTCCTGCTTCACATCAAAGTGAGGTCTGGGAGAGACGGATTAGAACAGATGAGAGTTCACAGCAAATTCCAACTGAGGATTGTCTTCCAGCAATGATATATGAAGTGGAAAGTATCATCAATAGCAGATTGCTCACAAGTGTCTTATACTGTAACATAGATGATGTTGAGGCTTAAATGCCAAACTCTCTGCTGCTAATGAGATTAGAACCCCGCCCCCCATGAATCCAGGTATCTTTATAAAGGTACATTTGAACACCAGACGATGGAGGCAGGTTCAGTAGGTTGCAGGTTTGATCTGGACCCAATGGACTCGTGAATCTTTTACACTTAGAAGAAGCTCAGGATACGAGATCTTGTGCCGCTGGTCGATAGTTCTTGTTTATGTGGAGGTTTAGGTGAGACATCGCCAAATTATGCTTTTAAGGAGCACATAATGTACGAGGCAAAGGCATACTCTATCAGTAAAGTGGAGTGGTAGCATAGCAGCCACAGGATTGTTAGGGCATTAGGGCTTCCCTATGCCCAAACAATCCTGAGATTGTGAATTTGAAACCCACTCCAACAGACTGCCACTCTGGTTCTCTAAGCAAAACCCTTAACCCCACACTGCTCCTCGTGCGCTGCGAATGGCAGCCCACTGCTCCCCAAGGGGAGGGGTTAAATGCATAGAGGGAATTTAATTGCGCCCTACTTGTGAGGGTGACAATAAAAACACTGGGAAAAAGAAAATTAGATGTTTTGATTTTTTAAATTAGAATTTCCCTCAAAACTTTCAATATTGCAAAGTTAAGAATTATAGAATGGTCATTTATAATGCATATTTTGGATTATTGGGCTTCCTGAAAGCTGTGATTCTGGTAAAATGTTGGAATCAAATTTGCTGTAAGGACCCAGGTGCCACTACCCTTAGTTTTCAAGCAACAATGCACAAATATATTAATGTATGTATTCATAAATATACCTTTTCACATACACATTAATAGAGACATCTGTAGTTATAGAATTACTGCCCGTAGACTACAGTAGCCATTTGCACTAATGAAGAGAAGCCATTGATGTTCCCTTCCATTTCTTATCTTATCCATTATCCAGCTTGTTTTGCTGCGGTTTGTCAGAGATCAGCTGTTCTTATCTGGTCTCAGCTCTGAAGTCCAACCCGTCCCATATGATGGTACTGAAACTTGGAGGGAACAACCTGAAGGAGTCAGACGTTCAGCAGCTGATGGATCTTGTGAAGAGTCCAGACTACAAACTGCAGAATCTGTAAGTAGATGGTTGGAGTGAGTCCAACTGCTCTGAACAGGACTGATGTTCATGCTGCTCTTCATCCTGGATGTGCTGCAGATGATGGAGATATGCTGGAAACACTCACTGATCTGCTCTGCTGCTGTTTCTGATCTCTGCAGGTTGTGGAGCGGATGATCTTTCTAGAAGCTGATGTTTCCTGATGATCCACAGAGGCAGAAGCTGCAGCGGTTTGTGTTTAAAGAGACTCTGACTGGATCCTGATGATGAACTCTGAGATTAGAAACGTTCCTCCTCTTTATTTGATCCTGTCTGTGATTTATTGTCTGGCATTGTTTGTATCTTTGGAAGAATAAAGGTGAAATTCAAAGTGAGCTCCATTTAGTGACTCCACGGAGGTTTTAGCTGAATTTGATGCAGTTGTGAAGTTGATCATTTATCCTCTCTGATACATTTCCTGAAACCCAGAAATCTGAAATATAATTCTAAAGTTTTCAGGCTGCATGTTTGCTTCATTGTAATGCAGTTTTTGGATTATTTTAATTTTAGTTTAGATGTTTGCTGCAGGTGTTTAGGCAGCTCTGTTCTTTTGATCTTCTTCAGGATTTTACTTCCAATATTTCCATCACCTTCTTTCTGATGTTCAAATATCTGATCTGTAATGTACTGAGTAAAGATCATGTTTCATCTGCTACAGCGTCTCCATTAGTTAGGATTGGAAACACTTTATAGAGCAGCTCAGATCTTTTTTAGAGGATTTCCTCTGTTTGTCCTGATCTTCTGGTTCTGTTAGGTGTGTTTACATTACCTTCCTCTGAGTGGTGCTACATGCCATTGAGTTTACCAGAAGACTGAGGAGCAGCTATACTGGGCTCTGTTTCAATAAGCAGGTTTACTGAAAACTCTAACTTTTGATTAACCTGAAATCAGGGAAACTCTTCAGTTTCCATTTAACAAAGAGAGCTTCCTCATCCTCTGTCTCTGTTGCCATGGTAACATCCTCCCAGAGCTATGCTGGTGAGCAGAAGGTTTTCTTCAGGTAGAGTGTCCTATGTCCTTACAGCCAATCAAGCTGTTTAATTTCCTGACTGATTCAGATTTTTGTCTTATTTTTTATTTTTTTGTATTATTTTTGTCTTTTGTTTTATTTGCATAAAAAAGTCATACCGAAGTCATCTTTAAATTTCAAATGTCAAATCATTCTGGCTTAAACATGTATATAAATGTACTCTTTATCAGACCATATTGTCCCAAAAGTT